GACGGCCACAGCGGAAGCACTCGACGTCGGAGCGGCGCGCAGCGGGCACCCCGTCCCGACGCGGCCGCACCGGCGGCGCAGCCCGTGGCCCCGGCCCGCTTCGGGCCGGCCACGGAGCAGAGGCAGCCGACAACTCCTTCTGCCCGCTCCCATCCGGCACGTACACGGCCTTTGTAGGGTCCCACCCTACGGCACCCCCATCGACGACAGGACCGCCCGTCCACGCCGTGACCTGTTTCCAGCGGCGGAGATTAAACTGGGCGTCCAGACACTTGGCCGCGGTCCGGGACGTGAGCTTTTCGTGACCGCACGCCGGCATAGGAATGCCAAGATCTCGGGACAACTCCAACATCTTCCCCAGGATGAGAGGTTCCAGCAGGTCAGGCTCCGTCTCCGGGTAAGCGGCCATAGCAAGTTCCAACACGGCGCCCCTATACGCCACTGGTGACTCCTCAGGTGCGCGTTGCCGTTGCACGAATCGGCGATGGGCGTCATCCGGTGGCTCGTACGCGTCCGCCATTTCGTCGAACACCCCTCGCAGAGTCTTCTTCTTCGCAGTTTTTATGGAGCGAAAAAAACGAACGGACTCATCGTCAAGAAGAGTCGGAAGCACCTCCAGTGCCTCAGCGTCCGTCCACCTTGCTGTACGTACCGCCGCCAAAAATCTACAGGCGAACGCACTCCAATCGCCCCCGATGGAGAATTCTTTGACGGTTGTTAGGTGACGACTGCGACTCCTTGGCTTGCTTCCTTCCGCCGCTGACTCCTCCGGTGGTAAATTCAACAAGGCGTCGCAACGCGGTGTCGACAAGATGGCGGACGACCGTCGCGGCGGTCCCAAAATGGCGGCTTCCCGCTTTCCGTGGTGCGCCACGCCCAAGATGGCGTCTTCGCGCCGCGTGGCCGATGGCGGCGCCATCGAAGACGACCCGGGCTCCTGCCGATCACCACCATCAGCTTCCAACGCCGCCCTTGGCGTAACAAGGTCACACAACTGTGTGATGACGTTTTTGAGAGTTGCCAGTTGCTCCGCCATCTGGGTCCATCTTAAATCAGCGTCCTTTGGAGCAGATGGGTCCGACGACGCGGCAACCTCCTCGACACCCGGACCTTCACGGATCTCTTCCTCTGCCGAAGTCAAGCCGACTGCAGGAGGAAGATCGTCGTCGTCGGAAGATGAAGCCGACGCTGGAGATGGAATATTCTTTTTCCTCAATTGTTTCGCCATGCCGTTTCACTTCTGACTCCAGTGTAATAAAAGGACTCAGACGCTTCTCTCTGACTTCGTGTCCTTTATTGGGTTCTTGTCTTCTCCCACACGGCACTCTCTTATAGACACTGTATTTGTAGCCCCCGGCTGCTTACTCTATTGTAGCCTCCTTCCTCTCCCCGCAGACTCTCTCCTTTCTCTATTGTAACCTCCGTCCTCTCCCTGCAGACTCGCTGCTTACTCTCTATGCAGAACCTCGCTGCTTACTCTATGTGCAGACCCTCTTGGCTGCTACTCCGTGTGCAGACCCGCTGCTGACTCTGTATGCAGCCCCGCTGCTGACTGCAGCCTCCTCGCTGCTTCGGGTCGGTCACCGCTGGCCAACGGTGCCGATCCTCTCTCCCTTGTGTTCGTGGCGATCTCGCCACCCTCCGTGTTCGCCCTTCGTGGCCTCTCTCGTTCCTGGTCCCCCGTCACTCCCCATCCTCTTCCGGTTCCCCTCCCTCTATAGCTTAACCCCTCTCCCCCCACGTGACCTAACTCCTCCCCTCATGACGTCACCTCCGGAGGGCCGTTTACGCCCGCATTATACAAGGAATCATGTCTGCATTAACCACAATACTTGTGGTCAGAGGACGCTTTTTGGCATCCTCTCGTTCAACACCATTTGAGACGAGGCTCCAAAGTAAGCTGTCTCTGGTGTGGACCAATCGGTTTCAAAGACAATGCATTTATTATAAGAGTATGTTTTTTGTTTGCATTCTGACCACAAGTAGTGTGGTTAATGCAGACATGATTCCTTGTAAGGTTTCATTTTGGTGTTTTAACATCTTAACACCTGTTTTGTTGCCAGAAAAAAAGGGGAAAACCAATTCTCATCTTTGTGCGTTGTTAAATCCATATAATTTTCTGAGCTATATTACCAATTTGACTATGAACCTTTAGCTACTGTTACCTCCCTGCAATGTTGGCACCGACAGCTGGGATTGAAGTGGGAAGTTTTCACTCTTTATGAACACCCTGTAGAATGTCGAGTGCTGTGGATGATAAAACCAAATTTTGAACTGTTTGAATTCTAGTCATTACGTTTCATTCACAAACCGAAAAATGTAAAGAAATCACAGTGGAGATGATGGCGAAAACACCTCGGACTCTGAAATCTCCATATGACATGCACCACCAACACTGCACCTGGTGTTACACATGGATATAATTCATACGATAGTACCCAGTTTGTGTGTGTTCAGTTTTATGGACCTAGCTGAAACTGTTGCCTAATTATTATTGTTTAATGATAATTAACACATTTTGAATGCCCACTGCTGTGCATAGACTGGGATGTGGAATTTCCACCACTGTCTCTGGGTTGCCAGTGGAGACGAGCTTTTCTTATTTGAGAAGCAACACTCAAATGATGATTTAATAATCTAACACCCTAACCTTTGATCCTCACCTACTATCTCCCTAGGATAAAAGTAGTCTGATTTATCAATGTTCTGATGAGAAGATTGTTCACTCTGACAATGTTTTACAGTGTTCCTGCTCGCCTAAGCTTTTAAATAGCTTAGTACATGTGTAAATGATAGTGTTCAGGTCAGTGCACTCTGCTGCAATCGATACAGACCTTAGTTTGATTCCTGATTATGTATTTCAGTGAAGATTTTGTGTTGAGCTTATGTCGGACTTTCTTCGGTTAAACCCCCAGCCTAAATAAAGCGAGCAGATTCCTGGTGCCCACAACTGGCACACAAGGTGACCACCCTGGTGGCCCCTCCGTCAGCCCTGCCCGCTTCATAAATCGCTAAGCCCACTCAATCACTAGCCCCCTCCACACGCCTTATGCTCATAGGGCCGGCCACTCCTCTGTCAACTCCGCCCACTGAGTAGGTAGTGGACGATGTTGGCAAGCACCCAGGCCAGGACATTTTAAACTGGGATAAAATATCTATTTACCGCCAATGGCTCAGTACCCCCGGATAGTTTGGTCGCCTTAATCGTGAAGTTAGTCTAGTACCTGGTGCGCAGTGTTTCACCCCCAGTGCTTAGAACACAAGATGTTCACACATGGAGCTATCCCCACAGCCACTTTGAGTTTCCCAATTGACAGCAGTAGCCACTGGTGGTGCTGGCCCATTGGGGACCCTCACCAGAAGTAGACAAGAGAGAGTTACGTAGTGAGGTAGGGTGAGATGAGAGAAAAGAGGAGACAATAGAGATGAGAGAGGTTATTTCGCTTTTGAGCTAATTTTGTTTCTCACGTGCATTTGGATTTTCATTTGAGCTGATATTTGGTGCCCCCCATGGTTTTTCATGAATCTGGGGCCCCTTGAGCCGCTTGGGCCCCTGAGCATTTACTTGGTTTGTTTTTGCCTCGTGCTACCACTGGCAGTAACAATTAGGCCTGTAACGATTAAAATCGATTCGTAGGCTAGCGATGCACACATCAAATTTTGTACGGATGGTTTGATTTAACTTTGATCTGAATATGTTATGCCCAGTATATTTAGTTTATTTGGCAATGGGCAGCCATTAGAGGCGCTACAATTGCCACAATAAGAGGAATATATATCAATTCTTTAATCAGGTTGTGACACGGTATCATTCTTGGATTCGCAAAGTGTGGTGGATTGTTACGTGCCAAGTAGCAATCGAAGCTCAGTAATGGCATTTATTGTAGCAATGACTAGCGTATACCTTGTACAAAATATACAGGATATGTAATGTAATCATATTAGTAATTTCATTCTCTGGTGAAGGATAGAAACTCTCAGGGGACAGATGTGGCCCTTTCCTGCTAATGACACACTGCAATTCAGATTTGCAGACCATTTCATCATTCATACTGCCAAACAGGCCTTTGTACCAAGCAATGTAATTGTCTGGAAATGCAATAATGCATACAGAAATACGTGGAACTGTTTCCATGTGATTTGTGTTCGAGGCGTGGTAGATAATTGCTAAGACTATGATTATCCACTGTTAGGAAGGGTTTGGTTGTGAAGGGAAATAATTGTGGCAAAATTGATGTGAAACGCAGTAACATTTACGAATAATGAAAATTATACAATGTCAGGCGGCGATGATTTCTGTTATTGTATTGCTCTGAAATCCCACGATAGGACGAGCCTTTCTATTTCTGTCTTTTACAGTGAGGCCTTTTGTCTTTTTTTGAATTGTGTTTCCCAATTAAATCATCGCAGTCGATTTATTTTAAAGCCTTTTTCTGTGGCTGCAGGAGCAAATGCATACGCTGCGCATGTGATAGCCAATTATCACCATCGCACGTGTTGGCCTCTATTCGCGAGCTACAGCCGACCTAATTAAGCCGGGTAGCAAAAACAACATTGCACGGGAAGCATTTGCCCACAGCTCACTCGCTCCCACAGCGGTTAAACTCGTGTGACTAGTTCACTGCAGTGACACTGAAATATTGCAGCCATATTTCCGTTGAGAAGAAAACGTTCTCGTGTTTACAAATATGAACTTTGAACAGGGGAACAAAAACAGCGGGGGAAAATTGAGACCCGACTTCCTCTGTTCGTGTTACATCCGATGTTGCAAAGTTCATTTTGAAATTGGTGGGTTGCGTGCAAGTCGAGCTGGAATTCCTGTTTGTTCCATTCACTCTCGGAATTAAATTAGGCGCCCGTTTCGCCAGGGCGTGACCCCGACGGTACGTGACGCACAGCTTGTTTACGGCGAGGATATCGTGTGCTCAATTTTGCAGCGCCACAGTGGTTTCTGTTTCGAGTGTTTCTCAATGGCGGTACTATTTTACTGTCCACTGCAGCAGACGTGCGCTGTGTGCTTGGAAGACTTCCGAGAAAAGGACGAGCTTGCTGTGTGCCCTTGCAAGCATGCCTTCCACAGAAAGTAAGTCGTTCTCGGTGGCCTATCGCAACTTTTCACTCTGTCTTCTTTGATAAGTGCAATGTCCAAAAAGCACTCCTTCCACATCCTCCTCTATATGTCTAGCACACGTGCCAGAGGGTCAGAGTGACTTGGCTAATCTACACGTGCTATGAGCTGGTTCGGCACGGCCCTGGGATTAATGTCTCTCACTGAATATCTCCCGATACGCTGGAGTAGATGTCACGTGACTAGTGTCCACAGCCAGAGCGAGGGGTAAGCTGGATTTGGGGTGGCAGGTGAGTACATCTTCTGGGTTGCCGAATTTGGACAGACCAGGTGGAAATGAAGCCTTGGCACAGTGTTGGGATGCTGCCATGGTGAAATAGCACGCTGAATTTTTTAAAATTGTTTTTCATCTTGGGCCATGGTTACATCTCATTGTTAAGGACTTGCCATCAGAAGATTTAACACCTTACAAGTTATATAAACACAAGTGGATTCCCTTTGGCAAAAAATGCATATTAATAATGGAGTGGATTTTCTTTTTTTTTACCAACAACAAGCAAACGCCCATATTATTGGGCCTTTCGGTAAAGTCAGGTAGATAGGTTCAAAGAAATTAACAAAAACTACAAAAAAACTACGACGTTTCGATCGCAACACAAGCGTTCGTCATCCCCTCTTTTTTTTCATTCCACTTCTTTTTTCTTCCTGATGACGAACGCTTGTGTTGCGATCGAAACGTCGTTTTTTTGTTATTTTTTGTTATTTTCTTTGATCCTATCTACGTGACTTTACCGAAATTCCCAAGAATATGAATTCCTGCAGTCACGAAAGCTTTAAGTCAAGAAGCAAACCGTCCCTTTGTCCTATTGGCAATTAACACCCCTCACCATCTTTATAATTTTTTGAGTGATAATTATTGGCAAGATAATTGGGTTTGAGAACTTAAAGAGATTAATTTTCCTTTCCTGCACAGTTTCAGCTTGGAAAACATTGTGTCTGCCTGCTTCCGTGTAATGCAGTATTTGTCTGCACTGGTGAAGCAGTCAAGCATGACCGAGATGTGTAATCATGAACATATTTTGTTGGCGAGTACCAGGGCAATGTGAGATATTCAAACCACTGCTGTGCAGTAGCGCAGCAGTTTTAATTGACGTGCCGTGCAAGCTTCCTATCAGTTGGGAGATAATTATCATGGTCTCATTAAGAAGTTTGTTAGTAAACATAGTTTTGATGTTTATAACTAAATCTATTTATAAAAAAAACAACTTAATGTGCTAAGGTAATAAAAAACATTGAAATTGATGGATTTAATAATTTGGATATATTGGCTTATTATCTTTTTTTATGCATATCTTGACTAGAAAAAAACCTTTTTGAAAAAAAATCTGAATACATTTTACCACTTATTTGAAACCCGTAAAACTTGCCACTGCTGCCCTCGTTCACAACAGCTGACACGTGAACAATAACAGCCCAAATGATGATGGCACAGCTTACCTCGTAGAAGAACTTCAAAACCCGTTGCTGTGTCAGGGTAGTCACCTGTCTCGGCTTTCCCAGGATCATCTTCTTTTGAGGTAGTTGCTGCCCTCTGAAATCTCTTTCCAAGTTTTTGTCATTGACATAATACTAGTCCGTTAAAGACAACGCAGTTACATTTATGTCTGCCCCCATCCGGTGTTGTGAGATATCCTTCTTCTCGTGTTTTCTCCCTGCATTTTGTACCTCTGCAGGTGGCAACCCTATTGCCGACGCTGGTCTGAAATAATGCCGCTGGCTGTTTGACGCGTTCCCGCAGGTGTCTGGTAAAGTGGCTGGAGATCAGGAACGCCTGCCCCATGTGCAACAAGCCAGTGGCCCAGCACGTGGAGCAGACGCCCGTGAGCCTGGCGCAGGCCGAGGAGCTCATCTAGTGTCGCCGCCCTACATCCCGTGCCGCGTCAACGTCGTCTGGGGCAACGGGCACATCGCTCGTGAGGCCAGGGACCTGGCCGAAATCAGGGGTGGGGGCGTGTGCCTGAGGGGACCCATTTACTTTCAGTGGGGGCCCCCTTTAAACCGGGGAAAACTGAGCTCGAGCCTTTACGGCCTGCGCTTTAATCCAGTCCTGCCTGTGCCCCTGAGGGACTGGAGATGAGGGGGGCAGTGACGAAGCGAGAGAGCAAGGCATGTGTTAGTCACTGAATAATTGGCTCATGGTTTCCTATGGTGATGTATTCAGTGCTGGATTAAGGTGCAGGCCACGTGGTCTGAGACCAAGGTCCCTATTATGATTTTCCCAACGGGTCCACTATGGTTCTGTGTAAACTGCAGGGATTTAGTTGATGCACATTTTATTGTGAATTTGATGGAATTGTAAGAACAATGCCACCTGCTTTTGGCCTTTTTTGCGAGCTTACTAATCTCCTTAATTTAAATTCTACCGCAATATGGAAGCCAGCGATGTTGTCATGTTAGCAGTGATGCAAATGCGTACACTGCTTAACTGCCAAGCAGTGTTATAGTTCATGCACATGCAACAGAACGCCCCGCTTCCTTTCATGAACGACTATTACAGCCAAAATATTTGGTCTGCCACTGGGATACAGACCCTTCAGGAAGCATAACGCCACTTACAGCACCACCTTTGCCCGGCGCAGCTGGAGCCCTCATCATCTTGAGTCTAGGACCCCAGGAAACCTTAATCCAGCTCTGTTATGGTGTGTATCTATAATAATAATGATGATACATTTTCTGTGGGTTTTCTCCAAGCGCTTCCCACTTGAAAACACTCATTAATTAGCTGAAAACTTGGTAATATGTCGAGGACCACAGAGCTGAGACATGTGTTGGCTCCGGCTTACTGCCTGGTTGCCTACCCCACTTGCCTGTGGTTTCTCGTGAACCTCTGATTCTTTCTCTTCCAGAGTGAATGGATTATGTGCGACACATTAAAAGTTTAAATAATTATTATCATCATTATTATCCAAGAAATCCTCACCGAGTCTCAAAACTCTGTACCAGGCAGATGCTGCATTTGGATGTTTGGCCAATTGCACATGATGAGTATTTGGAGGGAAACCTATGGGTGGTGTGGAAATTATTGTACTTGTTGAAGTGCAACACGAAGAGCAGGGAATACATAATTCTGCCACAAATATACCTTATTACAATGCTAACCCGGTAAAATGCCAATGTTACCTTCATTGAAGCTCACTGTGAGAAGGGAGACTTGTTCATTATATTCATACTAGTTAATTTCCAAAAATGTATCCCATGTTGAAGTGTATTCTCTCTTGTTATAACTTTGAAGAGCGGTTAAACTAGTTGGCGAGGTAGTGCCTATGTTGTTGAAGTTACTTACCACTTAGGTGTGATTGGTGGCTCGCTTGCCGTAATGGGCCGACTTAAATGAATTCAACCATTGTTACCCCATAGCTGACGTATTGGCTGGTAAGTTTCCAGCTTGTATTTTGTCCCAGATAATAACCGAACTGTAAACAATCTTTTTAAACTGTACATAGTTTTTTTTGTATTTTGTATAAAATATTAACACTAAAATGCATGTTAATAATTAGTATTAAGATATTTTTAAAAGCACTTTTCTTATAATTTTTGTTTGTTTATTTAACATCCATGCCTAACCCACATATACATTTATATAGAGCAAATCGCTCATTCAAAATATTGGGCTGATGTTTACCACTAGGCAAGCCGAGTAAATACATCACAATGGACAGCCGTCTGTTGGTTAAAATGCTGAAAGGTCATTGTTGAAGTTTCTTGTGTTTGGCACTTGTGTAACAATACTATATAAACAAGGCAGTGTCTTTCACAGCATCCAGAAATGTAGGATATGTTCACCATTGCACGAAGAACGCAAGCGGAATCATACGAAAGCATCCTCGTTTCTTTAGGTTCGTCTTATTGCATTTAGCCGAATTCTTGAGTCACGCCATTTAAACATGGCTGCCTGCATAATGACATGAGGCTTTTTCTTATTTTGTGCGTGTATTTTTGACGATGCCACTGATGGCAGTGGTGCAATCTTCATATGGATTGCGGCCTGTGGACAACTAGTGGCTCATGGAAGGATTGCAAGTGGTTAGCAGTTTAAGCGATATTTTACTTTTATTAATTTGCCATACTTCACCTCTGGTCAACTGTTTGGATTTGGGACTTCATGGTGGTGTGACCAGAATTGTTGTGGTGGGCCGATGTACTTTGTTTCCATGACCAATGAAAACCGGGCACAACCCTGCTGAATAATGGCCTGGATTCCCATGGTCGATGTGAAAGGAGTAAAAGCATGTTGAATCAAATCTCCTTTCTAGATCTCCTAACATTAATGATACAACATGTGTACTGTATATGTTTTAATCTATTGCCCGATTGACTCATTGGCTTTCCAGCAGTGTTGTTTAAGCAAGCAAATGGAAATGAGGCCCAATGAGCTCAGCTGCTCCAGCTTCATCGCTTTCCCTTTCTGCAAGCTGGAGTGCGATGGTTAGGAAGACTTGTTTTGTTTAAAATTATTGTGTACCAACTCATCATGTTGTGTTTCGGAGGATTACAAAATAAATTTGCAGGCTGTTGTCAATTCACTGCTGGACAAAGACATCCCCTACACTGCGTCAGTCAAGGCGCTTGTTTGACCGTCCTTTGCCACGCTGGTCAGTGTGGATTGGTGAAGAGCTGGCCCGAGAACCAGTGCAGATTTCACTTGCCACTGATATTAGCAAACATGGAGTGAGTCAGGGCCCAGCTTTGTAAAGCAGAATTCGTTTTACCATGATGGGTTGCCATGGAAAGAAATTGCTGTCTGACTCAGCCTAGAAACTGCACACTTTCTACTGGACATAGAAGCAATGTACTCGGGACCCAAATTGATCAAGAGTTGACAGTTTACCCTGTCTCAGTTCTTTGCTTTAGTTCAGCTGTTTGAAATTGGTTAATCTCGCGTACAAAACACATAATTGCTTGATAATAATAACAATGTATTTGATAATCATATTTTCAGGTGATTCAAATAACACGTACATTTACATTATGATGACAAATGCGTGTAGTAGTAGTTATCTCCAAAAAGCACTTCTTTTTTGTAATTAAATATAAGTACTTTTTTGTACGTTGTATATGTATTATTTCCCCATTACATTAATGCAATGCACTTACAAAGGGTAATCTTTTTTATTTTATCGGTGTTGGCTGTAAGGAAAGGACAATCCCACAGTGTTTCAACCACTTAATTTGAGTTATTAAATAGTAACCATGCACTTATTTAACACCATTTAGGACTTACCAGAACAAAAGCGTAAAGTTTTGTAAATAAAGGCAGGTTCACGTTGAGAGGCTAAACACCATTATATGATTGCCTGCTAATACTGACTCTTTTGACCATTAATGAGCATTCATTCCTTATCCACTTCTGATAAATTGCCCTACCTTGGGTTGTCCTCTATTCTGTCTGAGCACATTGGTTATGTGAGGTGGCTTATACAAAGAGCATGGCCTACATTGTGATTCATTACAACTCAATCTGGCTTTATATAGCGTCTACATGCAACCACATCTCATGATACTGTACAGAACACTGGGCATATTTATGTTATAGAGTGTAAGAGACGGACGGTCATAGGTGGAGTTATAAATGAAGGTATTGAGTATTCATGTGAACAGAGGTAGAGAGTGGACAGCATGGATGGCTTGGAGCAAAGAGAGTTCCAGACCATGAGGGCAGCAAAAGAGAAGGAGTGACCTCGCACTGAATGACGGTTGACTGGGGACTCAGCTGCTGCTGGCTGCGGTCTGCCAAATGAGACCGGGTGGCACATTGGGATGGAGATTAAAATGGTACAGAAATGGCTGTTTGCTTCAATTGAATAAATCAATTCAGTGACGTTTGCAGATATGAATGATCTCGCAGCCACGGGTAGCTTTAAAGAGAACAAATGCTGGTCTCATTTTATTCAAAGTGTCAAAGGTGAATTGCAATTAAAGGAAATAAAATAGCCGTGCTGTACAACATATGCACAAGGTTGGAACCATTAGTTTTGAGTGTTTTCTGCAAGGGTTTTTTTATTTGTGCTTTGAATATTATTTAATAAAATGCCAATGATTTATTTAAGTGATATGATTTTCCCCTTAAACAATAACACTTATACAGATTATATACCATTGATGAAATACATTTTCTTTTTTGTAGTTTTAATTTTATTTAGTGAATTTGTGTTGGTGTTAGAAAGTTGAGAGTTTATTTAATCATGATAATTACACGTATTACACAGCTTTTGTCGAAATGCACTATTTTTTTGTTCAAGAACACCGTGTTAATGTCAACTAATAAGGTGATGTTCTTATAACTGCTATTGTTTGATGCAGCATTAATTTAACTCACAAAATATGTAGTGAATTCAAATCTAGCTGCTGCTGCTGCTTGTGCGTTTGAACATTAGTAATTCATTTTTGGGTCTGGCCACGTAATGATCCGACCAAATATTTGCACCAATTGTTTCAACTCACCGGCAAGTTGTAGAGCAATTTTCATAACGAAATGTGGTGATAGGCACACCATTTTGTTTGGAAATTGCACCAAACATCAGGGAAACATTCCCAGGTGTCAATAATGAGAAACCAGGAAGTGAAGATGGTGGAGAGTTTCATGACACATTTTGTCATGATGATGTGGCTTAACCGAGAAAATAATTACGATCTTAATATTGGCTGCGAAAACCTACATCTTAAGTTGTATTTTAAGTTATTGCATTCATACCAGAATGATGGCCAATTGTTTTTTTGGGTTTGTGCTTTAGATTGTATTAATTTTGTTTTTGAAATGTGCAAAATAAAGATTAAAAGGAAAAAAAATATCGTCCAAAAATACGAGTGACCGGTGATTCACAGACATTAATGAAACAATATTGCACCCCCATATTCTTTGGGACTTTCGGTAAAGTCACGTAGATAGGTTCAAAGAAAATAACAAAAAACTACGACGTTTCGATTGACTTCAAGCTTTCGTGACTGCAGGAATTCATATTCTTGGGTCTTTCGGTAAAGTCACGTAGATAGGATCAAAGAAAATAACAAAAAATAACAAAAAAACTACGACGTTTCCATCGCAACACAAGCAGTCGTCATCAGGAAAAGGGGCTTAGCTCCTAAAGGCAAACTGTTTATAAATGTCAGCAGCATGGGTGGGGCAGCTAATGTTAATGTAAGTGATGGGCAGCAACCGCGATTGGCGGTGGGTTTCCACCAATGAAAGGGCTGCCAGGTAATAATTAGCATGTTAATGTGAGATCGGTGAGCGGCCTCCACGGCGAGCGCGCGGAGGTGGCTATGCTAATGTGAGAGATTAGCATGTTAATGAGGGATCGCAGAGCCACGCCACGTCGAGGTACGGCGCGCGAAGGTGCCAATATTAAGCGCGAGAAATGTAACCTGTTAACGTAGTTGTTATTTTCGGCTCTCCGATTTTACATTAACAGGTGAAATTTCTCACACGCCACCTCGAGGTGGCGTGGCTCTGTGATCTTACTTTAACATGCTAATCTCTCACATTAGCATAGCCACCTCAGCTCGCTCGCCGTGGAGGCCGCTCACCGATGTTACATTAACATGCTAATTGTTACCTGGCAGCCCTTTAATTGGTGGAAACCCACCGCCAATCGCGGTCGCTGCCCATCATTAATATTTGCTGTCCCGCCAATGCTGTTGACATTTGGGCTATATGCCCATTTTAAACCTTTATAAACAGTTTGCCTTTAGAAGCTAACCCCCTTTTACTGATGACGACCGCTTGTGTTGCGATCGAAACGTCGTAGTTTTCTGTTCTTTTCTTTGAACCTATCTACGCGACTTTACTGAAATACCCCAAAAATATGAATTCCTGCAGTCACGAAAGCTTTAAGTCAAGATTGCACCCCCATTTTACACAAATATCCTTTATAAAATTAGGGTGGTCTGAAAACACAATTGTAAACAACAACCACTGTATTTACAGCTACATTTGCCACACACCGAGCTTGAACAATCAAGAGAAGCTGCACAGGCGTTCTTTATTTTCCTCAGTGATAGTAATTTTCATCATTTTGTTAATCCCCCTGCTGCATGGATGACGCCCCACGCCATGTTATTTTTGGGATTTGTTTGTCCATACTTCACTATTTCGCTCGGTGCAGGTTCGTGAAGGGGGAATCCCGGTACCGATTCAGATATCGCTCGACACTGATAATGTTAGCCAGAGTGGGAATCAACTCGGGACACTACCATTGGTTGATTGTGTTGGTGGTCTAAAGATCTTCTTGGTTCTTTCGGTAAAGTCACGTAGAAGGGAAGTAATAAAATAATAATAAACTAATAAAAAAACAATAAAATAATTCTCACGACGTTTCGGCCACAACGCAAGCAGCCGAAACGTCGTGAGAATTATTTTATTATGTTTTATTTTTATTATTTTGTTACTTCCCTTCTACGTGACTTTACCGAAAGAACCAAGAAGATGAATCCCTACAGTCACGAAAGCTTTAAATTGGTCTAAAGATGTTCGTCAAAAGTAAAAAAAACACATTCTAAGAAACGAACCCCCTTGAACAAGATAACGCGTATTTGTTGAGATGCTTAAACATATTTTCAAAACGGCAAATTCAATGTTACATTTACTTTTTTGTGTGAAAATACTATTAAGTCACTCATCATCTTAATTTAAGCAAATACCGACTACCCTAAACAAAACTCATTTAGCATTGTTGTGAATGAAAAAAAAACATTCAAATGTGTATTGACTTCAGCGTGAATTCAAGGATGTGGCCAAAATTCACCTCGAAGACATGTAATGCAGCACCTACTATAATGTAACTTTCCAACAGAGGGCGTTTAAGCTCAAATTTGGAAGAACTGAAGAACTGGTGTAGTACCTTGTACATTATTTTGTTAATGTTCCAAACCTATCCGTATTGCCGTTGCCTTTACAGCTGCGTGAACATATTTTAGGCCGATATATATAGTTAAACGTAGCAATATACCGATATATGAGAACGTGTATTCTGATGCGAGATGCCAGCCTCCAGCCGGTGACATTTTGCTTCGAGAAACTCTTTCATGGGGCATGTTAACCTTGTAGTGTGATAGTGTCGTCTGTTTTCACCCCTTGTACTATGCTCTACTGCAGACATGCGTGTGGACGTTTTCAGCTGCAGTATTGCTCAGGCTAGTTGGCACACGTATGGGGCAGAGTTGGTTAGTGACAGCTTCCTCTACCATCTAGGACAACTGGAAAGTCTTGCTTAATCCTGCTTTTGCTTGAGATGTTGGGTTTTCGGTGCATTGGTTACCTTTTCAGAGAGAGGCTGCGTTCTATAAAGTGGTCACTTCTACCACCTATACTCCGACAACTCAAATGTTAATGTCATACCACTGCTAGTCCACATTGTTTCTGTTGGTAGTGTGTTGTCGACTATGCTATATGTATTATGGCGTTTTCTTGACATGAATGCGCATAGTTGAATGAAACCACCAGATCTCGTTTTATTTCCAGCTTTTCTGTAACGTACTTTCAATGTAATCCGATGCTGCGTTTCTTTTGCGTGTTGCTATTGCGAACATCAACGTTGAAATTAACCACATGTTATGAATCCAGGATACACTTGCGAAATAGGCAATTATTCATGCATAAGGCATACATTAGCAATGCTCCTGCGTGTTAACTGTTCAAATATTACTTTCAGAACTCGATGACGATAGGGCTATGCTTGGTTTTTTTTGGCACTTTTCATTTAAATAGCAATTTTTTAAACACATTGTACATTTTTAAAAGGGAACGCTTAACATTTTCTCAAAGGGGCTGTGATATTTATCGGGTGAAAATTAAATCGGCAATGCAATGTACTTCGTCCCGTTTTGAGTTTGAAGGATAGCAGGAGAATTGCATTGTTTAGAATCGGATGCATTTGAAAAGGAGTGTTGGGAAATATAAAAATTCTGTAAAAAGCTCTCTTCATTTAAATCGTTATGGAATTTCATTTTCAGCTGGGCCCCAAAGACCCCAGCTGGGCCCCAAAGTGAGAGGGCCAGGAGGTATGCAGTCAACAATGCTTGACTCAGGGAGGAGGACGCCCCTGCCATGCATAGTCCCATGGGATGTTGGCTACCAACAACAAGGCAACTCCTATGACTAATTGGGAATGGGACGCAAGCGTAGGATTGATCACCCTGTCGCTGGCCGCCTTTGGGGAGGGTGTATAGTATGAAAGGCCGAAACACCCTAGGAACCAAAGGGTCACTACTGACGATGCGCTCCCCAAATTTCACCAGGCTCACTGTTCATGAACTCTTGGAAGTGCTTGCACAAAGGATAGTAACATCTCATCCTGTGTTCTTTGGAATCAGAGTTGCAACGTAAAGTTTAAGACAAAGTTTGCTTTTAATGTGTTACCTTTAACATTATTGCTGCCCTGTGTGTGGTCATAAATACAATTCTAGCACTTCCTGTAGCTTGAATGATGATTATTACACGTGCATTCCCATCGGCTTGTATCTAGGATAAACAGTTGTACTGTTGTAGAGTTAGTGCCGACTATTCAAAGTGCTCGGAGTTCATACATTTGTACATAACCCACCTAATCGTTCTGTGTGTGTGCCCATAAACTAGATTGCTTTGTAGTGCGTAGGACGTTTCCCAGGCACTACAAGCCCTATTATGGTATTTGATACAAATGCAATCGATTATTGTTACAGACTAAAATGTACATGACATAAATACAAATAAATATGAAAATATTAATAAACAGCTTGTTTTTCTTTCGTGTCTCGACTTTTGTTGATGATGTACCTGGACATATTTGCACACCCAACGGATTTAATTAGTCTGCTGTCGATTTTAAACTATTTAAACCGCATACTTGCGATTCGAACGGTTGGCTACATTTCGTGCGAAAGAAGTTCAACATATCGATATTCAAAGCTATGTTTTTGGAGAAATTTGAATGCAGATTTTCCTTTGAAGATTGGTCTCTGGCAAGAGAGTAAAAATACTGCTGGCAGGCTATGGTTTAAAATGATGTTGACAATATATGTCGAGAAAAGCACTCACTGGACACTTTGGTAAATCGTTGCAGTATGTTTAAAAACAAAAAACTAAGTAGACTTGGGCAGGGCAAATTGACAAGACGAAGAGGCAGAATGCCAGACAAAGGAGGTATCGGTGGAGCTACAAGATGACCTCATGTGTAGGAACAAAATGGATTGTATCATGGCATCGAGAGGGATGGTGACATTGTGGTAAAGCCTTCATCCAGCAGTGGAGTTGTCATGACTTATGCATTCAGAGTCGCTCATTACACAGGGAAACTTAGCAATGAGAGGCGTGCTTCATAATTCCTCCATCCTGTTCGGAAAGTGAATGCAAAATGTCATTAATCTTCTATAGATGTTGTTGCCTCATGCTGCACGTATTGGCAATCACGATTGTAATTTTTGTTGGTAATACAACAATGGAGGCGTGTGAGAGCAGCCACCTTTCGCTACACAATAATTTACTTATTGTTTTGCTGGTGGCACAAATGCGCAGGTGTTGTATCGGAGCAATGAGCCGTTTGCAAGGCGTGTGAAACCTGCAGCAGCCAGGGTTTACGGACCCGAGTCGTCGCAACTCACCACGCTCCGTCTTTCCGCGCTTACCAATTCACCCCCCATTCAAATAGAAATTTACTCGTTTCACGCCGCACGCGCCTGATGATTGTTAAACATCCCACGTGACGCGCTACGTAATTTCCGCTATCGGCGTCACGTGTTCCATGTGGAACACGTGCACACTATTCATGCAAATTCACGTACATGGTGGTCCAGATGTCTTGTGACCCCCAATTTATTGACCCCGAAGTTTTTTTAACTTTGAAATATTCATTTGTCTTGTACTGGTAGGAACCTCCTGGTTACAGCAGCCCACAGGGGATTATTGTGTCCGTCCGTCGTGAATCAAAAAAGGGGAGGAGTGGGGCTGGGTGGAGAGGGGAGGGTGGGGAGGGGCTGGGTGGGGAGGATCTGGGTGGGGAGGGTCTGGGTGGGGAGGGGAGGGGCTGGGTGGGGAGGATGGGGCTGGGTGGTGGGAGGGGTGGGGCTGCGAGGGGAGGGGCTGGTCACCCCGTGGTGCCCTTATAAAACTCAACGTTTAACCTACTCACGCCGGCTTGTGCCCACCCTCACAGTCGGCCATTTTTGCGGAATACACCACGCCGCCGTTGACCCTAACCATTGACCGAGCAACCCAACGTTCCCACCAGCCCCCTCCGCAGGAATGTGTTTAATACATCTCAAACGGGGGTCGCAAGACATCTGGACCACCCTGTACACATGCATTCTCGGAGCAGTGGCATATGATGCAGCACTACGCTGTGGACCCGGCCACCCCAGTTGGATCCCCAATCACAGCTAACATCAGTGGCGAGTGATATCTGAACAATGTTCGATCCCTTAAACCCTCCCTAGTAAGATCGAACAATACCCTGACCGACACTGCATGGAGAGGATTGCAGCTTGCAGCAGATTGACAAAGGACTGTACATTTATCTTATGTTAGGGGTGGTACGATTCACACTGCCAGTCCCCTACAATGTAATGAATTGTCATTACATTGTAATTCACGAGTAGAGATGATCTATTATAGCATTGCAGTGATTGGTAGCGCCTCTAATATGCTTACGTAATCCAATTTTGAAATTGGTAATTTTTAGGCAGGGAATAGTCTATTTCGTGTAGACCCTGGCTTGCATGTGCAAAATCAGGATTACTTGAACTTACGTAGATTAAGTCAACTACACAAAGTTATGTTAATGTATTTTCCACACTTTAAATCGTTGTTGCCAAGTGTTAATACTCCAGAATGCGGGACTGGCGCCCTCCAGTGGAAGTTACTGAGATTGTCACAATAAACATCCGGCTCCCATAAACCTTTGCGAGACTATGTTTAAATGTTACGATATTTTATCTGCGATATGCAAATAAGAAGATACGGTTGTGTCTACGAATGAGTTCATGATTAACTTCTGTAAAGGTGTATATACAAATACGTATGTTTATAACAATGATTTCTTTCCTCTTTAAAAAAATATAGAATTGGCCAATAGCGTATATGTATTAAGGTTTTATACAAGTAGTTGACGTGTCCTCCAATTTAATTAGATCCTTCCTGGTCATTGAACATGATGAATGGGTTAATCTCGCGAGCTGCGTGAGATGTGCCTCCCCTCAATCTTGTTACGCGATGGCACATTACCCGTCTGACTCAATCCGGAAGGATCTCGGTTCCCATTATCAGCTTTGTGGAATTGTGTTTAAAGGGTCGATTTCAATGTTGACTTAAAACTTTCGTGACTGCAGGAATTCATATTCTATGGTTCTTTCGGTAAAGTCACGTAGATATAAAAAAATATAATGATAAAAATGAACAAGCAACCGGCTAGACTTAAAGCTTTCGTAGGAAATAATTTTATAGTATTAGGTTTTTTACCCTTTCAACTGGTACAAAACTGACACTTTTATACAAGGCATCATGTTTGCAATAACCACAACACAAGCAGTCAAAATGCAAACTAAAAGAAACAACTCTGATGATGATTATGATATGCACTGTAGAGGAAATAATTTTGTTTGGGTCTTTCGGTAAAGCCACGGAGGTAGAAAATAATTTAAAAACATGTAACGGGAGAGCTGCTGAGGCAGGTCTACCGCTATATTGTTTCACCTGATGACGATTGCTTGTGTTGCGATCGAAACGTCGTGATATTTTTATTCACTTTATTTTATTATTATTTTATCTACGTGACTTTACCGAAATAACCATAGAATAGGATCTACCTTTACCTGATTATTTTTATTATTCTTATCCCCTCTGAGAGGGAGGTTAACGAACATGTTATCAATTTGTGTGGATTTATTGTACAGTTTTTATATTTTTGTAAATCCATTGGCTGACGAAGGCGGCCCCAAATAGTTATTTAACCATAGTTCAGCTAGATCCTGTGGGTTAGTGCAGTCGGGTCCAGGAACTTTTCAGACATCACTCACTTCGCCCGGGAATCGAACTCACTCTATGACAATAGCAGCGCAATTGTTCAGGGTTAAGATGTGTTACATTAACTAAATTGTGGAATAGAGTACTGTGTGAATAAGATGTATTATTGTTCGGCAATAAGCGCCCCAACCATTACTTTAAAACTAAATTACTCTGTTCTGTATCATTCACAACCGCAAAGGGTTCACTATCTTGTCATTTGCAATCTTATGTAACACATTTGCCCCGTGGTCAAACCGGATTTTCAAGTGTGGCGAGTTGCATTGAAGTCTCAGCACAGCGAGATTTGCATGTGTTTTGTTTAAAGGGCTGAGAGTTGTAAACATTTAACTTACATGCAGGATTTCATGACCCATATGAATCATAATTCATTTATTTTAGGTGAGATCGTGTAGGTATAATGCAATTTTCAGTTTAACACGTGCACTTTTGTATTAACTATGACCCTCCTCCAACCGACAGAGCCAATCAAAGCAATTTGTCACGTGGGCAAATATGCAAAAAGTTTTCGATTTAAAGCTTTCGTGACTGCAGGGATTCATCTTCTTGATTCTTTCGGTAAAGTGACGTAGAAGGGAAATAATAAAATAAAAATATAAAACATGAATTATTTTATTGTTTTATTTCTAAAATAATTATTTTATTGTTTTATTTTAATTATTTTATGATTTCCCTTCTACGTGACTTCACCGAAAGAACCAAGAAGATTGTATTAGTTTATTAGCAAAACTTGAATAGTAAAAAAAATGTTGCCTTTCAACATTCCAAATCCATAGCTGTCACCCCATGCGGTTTGCCCGTTTTCTTGTACAGAAAAAATTTGTTTTCAGGTCCATACGGCGTACAGCGGTTTCAAAACGTGCCTTGTAGGATGACGTTGAGATGTATAAGGGCACGGGGTGACCAATAATGTCTCTGAATTGCTCTGTGATAAGGTGTAGTTAATGGGTCAATGCTGCAGTTGATCAAATTTTAAAATGCATCTAAATCTTCCTTTGTCAATTTTTTGTTACAATATAAAGTTATATTGTTACAATATAAAATTGAAAAAGGAAGATTTAGATGCATTATAAAATTTTATGAACTGCAGCATTGACACATTAACTACAGAGTGGATGCAGAGACAAAGCAAAGTAAGCTGAGGATAATGAAAACTGGTGGCGAGACGAATCCAGGACATTTAGAGACTACGACTCATAAGTCAATGGGTCAGAGCATAAATTGGTACCACCTAAGCTAGCTTAGTAGTGCCAATTTATTTTTTATACGGATAAGGGCTACAATTTTTACAAATATATAACACGCAAATACCACAAAATGCACTATTGTGGGCCACATAAAGACATCAGAACCACGAAAGCAACGCCACCACAGGTAAGTAACCACTGACACGTGAAACAGCGGACCGAGTGACGGAACGGAGGGGACATGGTGGGTTTTAAAGTCTTTTGCTCAGCAGTCTGGAGTTAACAGTTCATGTATTAGGTATCGCCCTGTGAGCCATTCGGCTCTGGAATCGGGTGCAACCGCAACAAACAAAACACATGAACAAGAAAACATCTTAAAGTGACTTTGTGACCAAGTGCAAACAGAAAATCCAAGAAAAGACAGCAAAATATTGTAGAAAAAGCACCGTACACCAACGTTGTGTGCACAAATCCCAGTGGGATGCAAATCAAACAACAACAACCACAAGACAACTTAGATTAAGGCCATCAGTCTAACTCTGTACTACAACAAACAAACATGGCCAAACCAAAAAAACTTTTCGAAAATCACCAAAATAAAGCCATGAAAGCAATGAAACAGTGATCACAGGAACTCAACAGGATGACAACGGCATGAACGCGGTCTCACAGGTGTGCGATATTGTCACAGGTACGATTCCATAAGTGATGCATAGATTACGATGACAGAGCAATCGTTACACCACGGTGGTAGACAAACTTTCATTCGTAAAAGCATCGCCCCTCTTGTGCATCTAAATGGACACGTCGCGGTGTAAATGTCGTGGGTTTACTCTGTTAACGTGACACACCGTACACATTGGCTATCGGGTGGTGGCGTATTTAACGACACATTCTTATATTTACGCGATCTAATCCAAAAAAAAACTCTATTGATATTGGTCGCAAAAGCCTCCAAAAAAAACCTTTATCACGCGTCACATCTTCTTGGTTCTTTCGGTAAAGTCACGTAGAAGGGAAATAATAAAATAAAATAGACGTAATAAAATAATTCTTACGACGTTTCGCCCATTTTTATTGATTTCGAATCGCGTTCTCCGTGTGCCGCCTCGCGGGCACCCGTCGCTGCCGCCGCCACCCGACCGGCTCGTGCGATTGGTCCAAGATTTGCCGTCACGTGACCAGCGAACAGCCAATAAAACCGCGCCGCCGGTGAGGTTGACCAGTGACGTCAGCCTCGTAAGTCGCCTGGTTCAGCAGCAGAAGGACATCGACTGCCGCCTCCACCACCGCCACCTTCCTCCTCGTCCTCGCAGCTTACGGTAAGGCGAGCTCAGCTCGCAATGGCAGCAACGTCACCCTCCGAGGCTCGCAACCAGAGTCGTGTGTTGCAAGGGGGCGGGCGCGAGGACGAGAGACGCCGCGAGCGCGCCCGCGTTAACCTTCAGCGTCGGACTCGCTCGGGCCTTGCTCGGATTGCGCCTTGTGTCACCGGGTCGTCGTTAATTTAGTGGTGATGTAAACAGCGTTGCGGGGGTTTTTTTTTTTTGCAACATCGGCTACGTGTGTTTTCTTAAGTAGTTTTTTTTTAGTTGTCACGATTGCACGCGTTTATAAGTGAGATTTTTTTCGTGTCGAATTGCCTTGTGGTGGCTCTGCTCTGATCTGACAGGGTCGTAGCCGCTATACAGTGCGCGCGTACAGTCCGTGCGTTCAATCCGCTGCTGGCAGTGAGGACCTCTTCCCCGCGAGTCGCGGGGGTTAATTCTACCATCTCCACGCTGCTCTGTGCGCTTTTGAATGCTGATGGACATAGACCTGTGAGCGTAGACGGTTGGGCAAGTGGTGGTTTTCCGCATGCCCATCACGCAGTGGCCTATGACGGTCAACCTTAAAGGAGTGCACGATGGGCATGCGATTCTGTTTGACTTTTGAAATCAGATTTTTGCCATAGGTGGTCGAGTCAATAAGTGACAATTCCAATTGGTATGGTGTTCGCTGGTACTGAAAGGCGGGAACTACAGTATTGTTTAACTTGTGTGTCTTTTAGCCCCTTGGAGAATTATGGACGTGTAGAGCTGCTTTGGGAGATGTTTGAGCCTCATTGGAATGAAAAGAGTCGTCCGAAGTGGAAGTGTGAACATTTCCATAAGCTTTTCGATGATTAACGAAATTTGAGTTGCATAAGTCTAAACTTTAAGTGAATTACATAGCTATTCTGATTTTAACAATGGACTTATTTTTTAACCATTAAATTGGCTGTGGTGACCTTTGAAAGTTACTTTTTGTTAGGAAATGAGCAGATCTTTGCAGTTATTATTGGCCACTGTCATCCAGACCTGCTGTATATATTTTCCCGCTGAATCCTTGTCAACGGAAATCCGTACCACCTCGCGCCTTCAGCCAAGGACCACTTTCGCCTCGGTTTCCCTTGTTGAGAGGACCGTGTTCAATATGGGAGAGCAGCATCCTTTGGCAACTTAAAAACGTACGTCCTGTTTTATATAAACCTGGGGCAGTGATATTACACGGCACCAAATTTAATTTCTCGACCTATGTGATTTCGAGTTTACATTCTATTTTCGTATAACACGGCAGGTCTTGTGAAATTAATCTTGCAATAAACAACTATTCACGACCCCCCAAAGGTGGTGCTCTCAAATGTGCCGATCATTTTTAATTGTAATGATGCACAAATTCCAACAAAGAACACAGTTGACTGGTAGTTATGCGAATCCAAATTACAATTTTAAGACTCTGCTCGATCTTCAAGAATGAAATGAAAAATGTCTTTTGTATTTTTTTTTCGGTAAAGTCACGTAGGTAAATTTTTTTAAATGAAAACAACTCCATTAAATCACGACGTTTTGGAGGACTTGTTACAGTGACTTTGGCTGTAACGGTTCCACGAAAGCTTCAAATCTATAATTAATGTCTGTTTGGTCAGAGGAGCATGCTGTTATACTGAAATGCGCTCCACCAGGGCCGTAATTGGGTACTAAAGTCGCTGGCATGGGTCTTGTCTGCGTCTTTTCTTCCTCTGGCCTCCCCCAGGTGTCGCCATGGCCGGTCACGACTCGGGTGTGCAGTACCAGTTCAAAGGCATCCAGAAATACTTTAATGCTTACACCCTGATCGGCAGACGCAATGTAAGTATATGTTTGTGGCATGTTTTGTATATGGCTGTTTCTGTGTAAAATTGTATCTTGTTTGACTACAGTATGCAGTGTCTGAGCTGGTTGGTATATTTGTTTTTACAGTGCGTCCTCGCCACATATGCAACCATTGCGGGCATCGTTCTGTTTTTCAAGTTGAAGTCAAAAAAGCCCAAGCAGATTGAAGCTTCTTAAAGGTGACGTTAAGTAAATCTGCATTTTAAAAGATCTGCAAGAAAAAGGCCTCTTGAAAACATGATGGGTTGTATGGCCATGCATCAGTAGGCTAGTGAAATGGATTTACAATTAATTGCTTTAATATTCACTCCAGAAGGCCGTGTACAAATTGTTCACATGGATTATGAAAATGTTTTCACAGATGACGTCCTGACCCATATTTAAAAATAAGTTTATTAAACATACTATTTGGTTCTTTCAGTAAAGTCACATCGGTAGAAGTATAATAAATCACGTTTCCATCGCAATCTTCATCAGGTGGGACAACTACAGCAAGAAAAACACGTTTTGTAGTATCAAGCTGTTGTATTGCAGCATCCCATCTAAAATCATGCTTTGTTTTTCAGGAAACTTTATGAAGATGGGGACCATCCAACAACTCAACACTTGGATGTGAAGACATTTGCGTTCCTAAAGTAACAGCTTCTTATCCTGCTGTGTAATGCCCCAATAAAGGAAGTTTTAAAACAACTGTGCATTTGATCATTAATTTGCTACTCGTGGTATGTTTTTAAATGTAAGCATGCCCAATGGATTTACCTGATGTTTATGCTCTTGCATTGCAGCCAAAACGTGTCATGAATTTGCAGTAGAACTAGGTTCCTCCCGATGGTTTTTATTTAATGGGCCAAAGCAGAAATTGTTACCACCTTAAGCTAATAAAAATACTTTATTTGGAGGGGAGTGTGGTAGAGGAATAAACGAAGTGCGGTGGTTTAACACAGATGTGCTTGTAAATTCACCTGGGTCTATCCCATGGCCTACCAGCGTGGTTTGGGTTGCGTTACGTGACCCCCCCCCCCCACCCCAAGATGCACAGCCGAGCACAAACACCGTATTAACGTCACCGCCTCTAGCGGTGGCTGGTGATGTTCTAAACTCGTGGCACCGAATAGAATAATACTGTACTGCACCTTTAACAATCTAGTAACCGTACAATAAAAGCTACCATGCAGAACCTGAAACGTGTTTTCTTTTTCTATGAGCAAACTTAAACGCCGGCATTCATACCTGTCAACCCCTTATCAGGGCCTACCTTATTACAGACTAATTTAAACCTTGTTGGTCTACCCGTGCCCTTATACATCTCAACGTGCATCCTACAGAGTCTCATCACGAGGGAGAAAAAAACAATTATAGATTTGAAGTTTTCGTGACTGCAAGGATCCATACTCTTTGGTTCTTTCGGTAAAGTGACGTAGGTGAAAATAAAAAAGTGAACTAAATTCACTTTATTATTTTCACCTACGTGACTTTACCGAGGAAAAACATTTTTTCGTCATTTTGCCCGTATTGAAACGGCTGTACGCCGTATGGACCTCAGAACTGCATTTCCATGTGCAAGAATACGGGGTAAACCGTATTGTTTGACACGGTACTGTGATTGGTTCAAACCCGTGGTGGTCCGCTGAAGCGTAACGTTGGGTACCCCACGTGCCTTGCCCACCTCTAATTGGCTGGAGGTCACCAAAGCGACAGACCGCCCCCCCCCCCCCCCCCCCCGTGGTGGCCATCTTTCGTAAGGGTGTGGGGGGGGTCCTCTGCGGAAGCGTTGCATTTTGATGACGCGTTCGTGGCGTGATGCAACCCCTACGTAAGATGGCGTCCGCTCCATGAACATGCCGAATTCATGGTGGCCATCTTACGTGAGGGGGGGGGTCTTGGCGAAACGTTGCGTTTTGATGACGCGGAAATGTGAAGACTACTCCCTACGTAAGATGGCGTCCGTTCCATGAACATGCCGAATCCATGGTGGCCATCTTACGTGGGGGGGGAGGGAGTCTCGGCAGATGCGTTGCGTTTTGATGACGCGGAAATGTGAAGACTACTCCCTACGTAAGATGGCGGCCGTTCATGAACGTGCCGCATGGAGTGGGTCAAAGCCGGGCGTGTTGCAAGGATTTAATCGATCAACAGCGATGCTATTTGTACTTTACGTATCGTGCCTGTATCACTGACAAACGTTGCCGACGTTTTATACGGCACGTCTTACGCCACGACATCTCCACGCTTATACGGTATAAAACTGCTGCGACTCCGAAAAGGGGTTACAGGTAATCGATTCTGTGATCGAATCGTGCGCGCGATTGCGACGATTTATCGCTGAAACATGAATAACCATCGAACTGGCGCATCTTCAACTCGACCCTCCCAAGGGTCGATATTCACTATTCCGCGTCACACCTCGATTTGGGAATCGATTACCCACTTCTCTGAACTGTACGTATTGCCCTTTAACTTCCCCCGCCGTGTTTACTCTTCTCAATTCATCCCGTAATCATCACGAACGAAAACTTCAGCAAGACGTACCAAACTAACCAATTTGTGGGCACGAAACGACCCCGTGCGTGCATTCTTTAAAAAAAACCCACGAAATCTTCACATCCCTGCAGACGCGGCACTGAAGTTGGTCACCGCTCCCACCAACCCGCCAGGATCTATCCACCGCTGGATGAAAGCTTTGGCCAACTCGAGATCTTGCAATGTCGCAAATCCAGCGAGCCCTCCCTTACGATGTCAGCACACGTGTTTCTTGTTGACACTGCATTGGCACACGTGTTTCTTGTTGATACTGCATTGGCACACGTGTTTCTTGTTGACACTGCATTGGCACACGTGTTTCTTGTTGACACTGCATTGGCACACGTGTTTCTTGTTGACACTGCATTGGCACACGTGTTTCTTGTTGACACTGCATTGGCACACGTGTTTCGTGTTGACACTGCGTTGTTTCGTTCCGGATGATCGCTGCAAAGTATGACCTGTGTTTTGATTTAGTGTGCTGATCTTAGAAAGGTGCATTGAAAAATTATGATACTCCGACTGATGCTCCTCCTGCTGTTGTGGAGTGACTCATGCAGCCAGCTATGGCTGAAGGGTTTTTCGCTCATTTACCAGCTTCACATTCCCTATTGCCGTACAAATACTGGAGGAAGGGCCTTTGCTATTGATGCCCCCAGGGTCTGGAATGCTATTGCCAATAAACTTCAACTTGAATCACTACCTATGAGATCTTCACTCAAAACTGATCGAGAGGAGTTGTACACCCCTAGCTGCCACTGCAATTCAGTGGCCTAAAATACAATGTTTCGCTCCGGATGATCGCTGCAAAGTATGATCTGTGTTTTGATTTAGTGTGCTGATCTTAAAGGTGCATTGAAAAATTATGATACTCCGACTGATGCGCCTCCTGCTGTTGTGGAGTGACTCGTGCAGCCAGCTATGGCTGCAGGGTTTTGGTAGTACATGTTGTTTATGTCGTTTATTGTGAAAATTTCGTCAGTTCCCATTACCACTGTTTCATTGCTTTCATGGCTTTATTTTGGTGATTTAGAAAAGTTTTTTGGTTTAGCCATGTTTGTTGTAGTACAGAGTAAGACTGATGGCCTTAATCTAAGTTGTCTTGTGGTTGTTGTTTTTTGACTTGCATCCCACTGGGATTTTTGCACACAGTGTTGGTGTACGGAGCTTTTTCTGCAATATTTTGCTGTCTTTTCTTGGATTTGCTGTTTGCACAAAGTCGCATATTCACTTCAAGATGTTTTTTTGTTAATTTTTTTGTTTGTTGCAGTTGCACCCGATTCAAGAGCCGAATGGCTCACAGGGCCATACCTAATCAATGAACTTGAACCAAAGCACATCAACGCTGCCCTAAAAAGGACACGGTTTTACGGTGTATATCAAAGGTTTAGTACTATATGGCTGTTCTTCATAGCAACAAAGCTAACACACATTTCAGATCCGGATATAGATCGTTCAGATTAACTCGTCAGCATCAACTTAATATTCCTAGCGGGGCAATTGATTAAATGTCACTTTACATAATTATTAGCATTGCAATGGTAAGTGCATTGGAAGCTGGGGAAAGGTTAGCAAAGCAGAGACAGATTTCTGAAGCCACCCTTGGCTCTGAAGTTGCAAACCACGTGAAGAGCCGTGAGCACGTGGCTGTTGTGCACTTTACAATAACCATCAACAATTCCTTAAGTGCTTTGTGGTCCCCTTGACCACAGGTCGGCATGAAAATACATTTTCATCAAACGTGTCCCGACTGACACGGGCAGCAATGAGCCAGCGAGACCGTTTCGTCCTTGTTGGACAACTCATCTGCAGAGCATTGTCACCAATTATCGATTCTGCAAATGTTACCTTTGAATTCCCACTGCTTATTTAGCTCCACGAGGCATCGATTGCACCGCAGTGTACAGCTGTAACGATGTCCAAGTGTTCTGACAAACCACCTGATGAAGCCGATTGCAACCACCAGCGAAAAACGTCGTACTCAAATGAAATGTTGGTTTGCTGTGCTGAAGTAGTCAACTAATTGCCACGTTTTGTTTACGTGACAACCCCGTGCTAATTGACTGTGTCGGGTGGGTGGTGGTGGTGGGTTAACGCCACTTACATTTAGGCGATCTAACCCACAAACAACAACAAAACCTCCCCTTGTATTAAGAATGTAAAACAAGCGGCATGCGGATGGCAACGAATCGAATCGCCCTGCCCGTGCTCGTGTCGGCAGGGCGGTGTGGGTGGCTGGTGGTTGGTGGTGGGTGGCGGTGGCTGGTGGTGGTGAGTGGCTGGTGGTGATGGTGGGTGGTGGTGGGTGGGTGGCTGGTGGTGGTGGTGGGTGGTGGTGGTGGCTGGTGGTGGTGGGTGGGTGGTGGTGGCTGGTGGTGGTGGGTGGCTGGTGGTGGTGGGTGGCTGGTGGGTGAGTCGGTGGTGGCTGGTGGTGGTGGGTGGGTGGTGGTGGTGGCTGGTGGTGGTGGGTGGGTGGTGGTGGCTGGTAGGGGTGGGTGGTGGTGGTGGGTGAGTGGCTGGTGGTGGTGGGGGTGGGTGGTGGTGGCTGGGTGGGTGGCGAGAGTCGAGGAATCGCTCCGAGCCATCCCCTGGCTCGCTGCTGCTGTCGCCAGGGTTGAGAGGAGACCACGGGGAGGGAGCAGCAGCAGGGGGAGGCAGCAGCAGCAGGGGGAGGGAGGAGCAGCAGGGGGAGGGAGCAGCAGCAGGGGGAGGGAGCAGCAGCAGGGGGAGGGAGCAGCAGCAGGGGGAGGGAGCAGCAGCAGGGGGAGGGAGCAGCAGCAGGGGGAGGGAGCAGCAGCAGCAGGGGGGGGGGGAGCAGCAGCAGGGGGGGGGGGGAGCAGCAGCAGGGGGAGGGAGCAGCAGCAGGGGGGGGGGGAGCAGCAGCAGCAGGGGGAGGGAGCAGCAGGGGGAGGAGGGAGCAGCAGCAGGGGGAGGGAGCAGCAGCAGCAGGGGGGGGAGCAGCAGGGGGAGGGAGCAGCAGCTGGGGGAGGGAGCAGCAGCTGGGGGAGGGAGCAGCAGCAGGGGGAGGGAGCAGCAGCAGGGGGAGGGAGCAGCAGCAGGGGGAGGGAGCAGCAGCAGCAGGGGGGGGGAGCAGCAGGGGGAGGGAGCAGCAGCAGGGGGAGGGAGCAGCAGCAGGGGGAGGCAGCAGCAGCAGGGGGAGGGAGCAGCAGGGGGAGGGAGCAGCAGGGGGAGGGAGCAGCAGGGGGAGGGAGCAGCAGGGGGAGGAGGGAGCAGCAGGGGGAGGAGGGAGCAGCAGCAGCAGGGGGAGGGAGCAGCAGGGGGAGGGAGCAGCAGGGGGAGGAGGGAGCAGCAGGAGGAGGAGGGAGCAGCAGCAGGGGGAGGGAGCAGCAGCAGGGGGTGGGAGCAGCAGTAGGGGGAGGGAGCAGCAGCTGGGGGAGGAGGCAGCAGCTGGGGGAGGGAGCAGCTGGGGGAGGAGGCAGCAGCAGGGGGAGGGAGCAGCTGGGGGGGGAGGGAGCAGCAGCAGGGGGAGGAGGCAGCAGCAGCAGGGGGAGGGAGCAGCAGCAGGGGGAGGGAGCAGCAGCAGGGGGAGGCAGCAGCAGCAGGGGGAGGGAGCAGCAGGGGGAGGGAGCAGCAGGGGGAGGGAGCAGCAGGAGGAATGAGCAGCAGGGGGAGGGAGCAGCAGGGGGAGGAGGGAGCAGCAGGGGGAGGAGGGAGCAGCAGCAGCAGGGGGAGGGAGCAGCAGGGGGAGGGAGCAGCAGGGGGAGGAGGGAGCAGCAGGAGGAGGAGGGAGCAGCAGCAGGGGGAGGGAGCAGCAGCAGGGGGAGGGAGCAGCAGCAGGGGGAGGGAGCAGCAGCAGGGGGAGGAGGCAGCAGCTGGGGGAGGGAGCAGCAGGGGGAGGGAGCAGCAGGGGGAGGGAGCAGCAGGGGGAGGGAGCAGCAGGGGGAGGAGGGAGCAGCAGCAGGGGGAGGGAGCAGCAGCAGGGGGAGGGAGCAGCAGCAGGGGGAGGAGGCAGCAGCTGGGGGAGGGAGCAGCAGGGGGAGGGAGCAGCAGGGGGAGGGAGCAGCAGGGGGAGGGAGCAGCAGGGGGAGGGAGCAGCAGGGGGAGGAGGGAGCAGCAGCAGGGGGAGGGAGCAGCAGCAGGGGGAGGGTGCAGCAGCAGGGGGAGGAGGCAGCAGCTGGGGGAGGGAGCAGCAGGGGGAGGGAGCAGCAGGGGGAGGGAGCAGCAGGGGGAGGAGGGAGCAGCAGGGGGAGGAGGGAGCAGCAGGGGGAGGAGGGAGCAGCAGCAGCAGGGGGAGGGAGCAGCAGGGGGAGGGAGCAGCAGGAGGAGGAGGGAGCAGCAGCAGGGGGAGGGAGCAGCAGCAGGGGGAGGGAGCAGCAGCAGGGGGAGGGAGCAGCAGCTGGGGGAGGAGGCAGCAGCTGGGGGAGGGAGCAGCTGGGGCAGGAGGAGGGAGCAGCAGCAGGGGGAGGAGGGAGCAGCAGCAGGAGGAGGAGGAGCAGAGACGTAGCCACGGCTAAAGGGGGTTGGGGGGTGCCTGAGTGGCTTTTTGCGTTGGGTGCGTTGAGTGTTGGCTGGACAATCACATTGAGCATCGGCGGCGTTGGTGGCGGTGGTGGTGTTGGCTGCAAGTAGTAGCTGTAAGTAGCTGCTAGTAGCTGTAAGTAGTAGCTGTAAGTAGTAGCTGTAAGCGCTTATCGAAGGGCAACTTGAGGCTACTTCCACGGCGTCGGGGAACAAGCATCAGCAGGAGCAGCACCACGCGGCGTGTTCACGAGTTGAGTGCGAGGCGGCGGCGGCGGTGGGTGAGTGGTGGTGAGTGAATGCAACAAAGACCATTCCTTGTTCCTGTTCCTAGTGTGTAGCACAGTTGGTTGTTACTCCGCCACGAAGTATATATACACACAGTATATGTGTGTGTGATTCGTGTGTTGAGTTAAAGAATGTGTTGTTAGTATTCAGCGTTGCGCCTGTAGGATTGATCGGTGGGGTTTGTCCGCAAGAATGAATTTATTCAGCGTTTAGGCGATAGGATATATACATAGCATCGTAAGCATTTAACGTTGCTCCTTTTAGGTCTGTTAGTAGCATTCGTTGTGAAGTCTGTAGTTGAGTATCCGTCGTGTCCTCGTGGATTCAATATGTAGTCCTGTAACGTGTTTCAGAGTTGTGTCTTTAGTCGGTGGTGTGGCGCTGAGGTTAGTGCAGTGCGCCGTCAACCCGGCGAGAGTGATCATCATCATGGGGGTTGATCATCATCATCATCATCATGGGGTTTGATCATCATCATCACCATGGGGGTTGATCATCATCATCACCATGGGGGTTGATCATCATCATAGGGGGTTTGATCATCATCACCATGGGGGTTGATCATCATCATAGGGGGTTTGATCATCATCATCACCATGGGGGTTGATCATCATCATCACCATGGGGGTTGATCATCATCATCATAGGGGGTTTGATCATCATCATCATCACCATGGGGGTTGATCATCATCATCATAGGGGGTTTGATCATCATCATCACCATGGGGGTTGATCATCATCATCATCATAGGGGGTTTGATCATCATCATCACCATGGGGGTTGATCATCATCATCATAGGGGGTTTGATCATCATCATCACCATGGGGGTTGATCATCATCATCACCATGGGGGTTGATCATCATCATCATAGGGGGTTTGATCATCATCATCACCATGGGGGTTGATCATCATCATCACCATGGGGGTTGATCATCATCATCATAGGGGGTTTGATCATCATCATCACCATGGGGGTTGATCATCATCATCATAGGGGGTTTGATCATCATCATCACCATGGGGGTTGATCATCATCATCACCATGGGGGTTGATCATCATCATCATGGGGGGGGTGATCATCATCATCATCATGGGGGGGGGGGGGGTGATCATCATCACAATGGGGGGGGGGGGGTTTGATCATCATAGGGGGTTTGATCATCATCATCACCATGGGGGTTGATCATCATCATCATGGGGGGGTGATCCTCATCATCATCATGGGGGGGGGGGGGTGATCATCATAGGGGGGTGATCATCATCATCATCATGTAGTTCTTACCCGTCACATTGACCAGCGTGGTGAAGTATGGTCAAGCAAGCCTTCATGCAGTATGTCTATTCACTTACGAAGGGCCGATTGCTAAGCATGCTTAACCATTACTATTATAAGGCGATCCTTTGTTACGGACATTATCCATAGTTTCAATTTAAAGCTTTCGTGATTGCAGGGATTCATGTTCTTTCGGTAAAGTCACGTAGAATGGAAATAATAAAATAATAAAAATAAAACTATACAACTCTCACGACGTTTCGATTGCAACACCACAAGCAATCATCACCAGGTGTGAAAACCACAGCAAGGAAATGTTCTTGCTGAAAGAACCAAGGATATTATCCGTAGTCTTAAGAGACGGATGTATTATTTTAGTTGCCAATGTAATGTGGAGAGAGAGCAATGTTTTGCCTTTTAAAGGTAGTCGATACTCTTAAGAGTGTTTTGATTGAATTGTCTTAAATGAATGGCTGAATTTGAATTGTCTTAAATGTCTGGCATGTACACTGGTGACATACATCCATCAATAGTGTTTAGAGTGTGTTGTAAGAAATTCATTTTCATCCGTCATTCACATCGTTGCCAAATATACCACATCTTAAACCCGTCTGGCAGGAACTTAGGTCCACTCAGCCTTAACTGACTACAGTACAGTACTTGGCCATACTACGGATACTTTAGATGCTCACACGAAGGCAAAGAAGCCCGGTATAGTAATAGGTTTTTACCCTTTCAACTGGTACAAAAACTGACACCTTTATACAAGGCACCATGTTTGCAATAACCACAACACAAGCAGTCAAAATGCAAACAAAAAGAAACAACTCTGATGATGATAATGATATGCACTGTCCTTGAAGTTGATAAGTCCACACCCGAGACAGCTTTTCTTAGAGCCTAGTCTCTATTGGTGTTTTCTTTTTGTTTGCATTTTGACTGCTTGTGTTGTGGTTATTGCAAACATGATGCCTTGTATAAAGGTGTCAGTTTTTGTACCAGTTGAAAGGGTAAAAACCTATTACTATACAGTATTTTGCCACTGGTAAAGGAGGTCTCATAGTGTCAAAGCCCGGTATATTTCACATGTGCGCATGCAATTTAACAACAGCAAAAAACCATCAATCACTCATAATAAAAACCGTGAGAGATGGTGTCACGGCTTGTGGAGGCCTTCATTCAGCAGTGGATAGATGATGACCGATGATGACCGCGATGTAAATGCGCACAACATAAGATCTGGTGGAAGATTCTCAAGAATAAAAACAGACATTTGTACCACGACCCGGGTTCGGACTTTATAGTTCTCGGAATGCATTGGCCTTGACCCTGTGCCAAAGTTTAAACCACCGATGTTAAACATGCCTAACCAATAGTGCAAGAGTTTATCTGTGTGTGTGCGGTTGTTATACCAAAGCAGTGATACATTCTCGTTGTTTAATCGACGACGGAAACCAATGCAGATGTTGCTGCCCATTTATTCGCACATTGTTTCCCGATATTGGCTTTTTTTAGTTTTTGTCGAGTCTATTTTAACCCCAAATGATGTCATGCCCCCCCTAAATGCTTCACTGTATTATCGTCAAGATGTATTTTTAGATGTGGACACGTACACTGGTGACATACATGCAGCAGCAGTGTATAGAGTGTGCCGTGTACACGTGCTGTGTTGTCAATCCACTGCTGGATGATGGGTCTATACATCTGGTCGTGGGAGTCGTTTGACCATACTTCATCACCCTGGTCAGTGCGGATTAGTAGATAGCCAGATCATACCTGGCAACAAAGAAATAACTTACAACAGTGAAACTTCCTTCAAGACAACACAGAATATGATAAATATGTAATATGCGTATACTTTACACACATGGTGTTTCCATTTACTTAATCTACTCCATGTCTAGGTACATTTACATTCATTTCATATTTAAAACTGTGCAACAACATTTTGCACAAGACACTGCTACACACAATACAGCACAGGATACACACTTACGAATAGATACTGTGCAAACGTACAAAGTGTAAGCAAGACATGTCCAACACAGTTTGCTGTGTTGGCAAATTCCCATTAACAGTCTATTATCACTCTGGGTCAATATTTATTGCCACGTGTTTTGAGGATCGTGTTTTAGATTTAATTAGGCTTACGGTTGTTTTGGACGCCAAAAGCAGAGCTGAATGCTCTCAAGTGTCAGTCAGCCTTGTTAAATTAACGAGACGCAAATTCAGTCACAATTAGTGCGCTCTGGCATATGTAAAAGGTAAATGCGCAGTCCTGCAATTGCTTGTTCACACTTGCTGGTGGAATGAGTCCCAACTAGAGGACGTTGTAGAAGAGCCTGTGTGGTGGCTGGCGTCGGATTGAAATGAAATAAAAGCAGCCCCTTGCATTGTATTGTTAATAAAAAGCTGCAACACATTTGTACAACATGAGCCAATCTTATTGGTGATCCCAAGGTTCATCACGGGGTCAGCGACAAAGCAAATAATCAAGGACTTTTTAAAAAATGCTAAGAAAAGGCAACCTATTGCTACCCAAGGTCATACCAGCGGTGGTCTCTCTGACTGAGGTCCATTCTGCATGAAAGGGCAATCTGAAAACCTGACACTAGCAAGCCACGTTTACTTAGAGCAGTGTGGCATCTTGAAACATGGTGTGACACCTGTTCCCGGAGCTACTGCCCATTTGTTGCCTGCTATTCATGAGTTTGTTGGAATGCTTCTCATTGTAAACACATTATATGGCTCTCCGGTGTGTTGTTGGCCTGCACCACGTGTTGTTTGGCATGATGTCCGATGTTACACTACGTGTGCTGGGAGCTTCGTCATGGACTATATTCATCTCACCTGAACTTAGGAAATGAATGCATTTCCTGAGGAATTTTATTCGGTTTCAGAAAAATCTCCCAAAATAGGGAGAGCTATACAGACCAACATGGCAGTATTATTAGGATTAAAAAAATGTATAAAAATACTTTACTTGGAAATGTTCAACATTACACTTTTTATACTTGTAAATTACATGCATTAAAAATATTTTGTTTTCAATCTTTTACCTTTCAGATCTCAAACGGCATGCTAATGTTGATAGGAGTGTATTGAATGAATAAAGCCCGCTTTTCTCTGAGGTTAAGATCCGAACACTTATCAGATCTAACTTCACAGCTTGTGAATAATTGTGCATTTTTGCCTGTTTAAGTGGCCATAACACTTTAACGTTTAAACAAGCTATGGTGATAACAGTGTGTGGCTTCAGTATGCTTTGGGCATATGCATTGTTGCTCCAACATTTCTAACATCATCTAAGAGCTATAAATGTTCACTTTGCAGGTCCTGTAGCTCCATAAAGGTCAACCGTTATTCTCAGAGCAGCTGACAGCTTCAGTCAGCATAGTGGCATTATTTTTCAAACATCTCCTTAATAGATGTCTGTGATGTGAGCTGCATTAAATGACAGTATGTATTATTTAACTTATTTCACTATGTATATCGATATGACCTTTATCAATTTTACACCGTATGGTGGCACTTTGAAAATTCAAATGTGGAGCGTTCACACGCTGTGTAATTATAGACAGTGTTTCTTCCGTGCAATATTTGAGTGTAGCTTTCGTTTGGCCTCTTCTTACCCTACTGGAAACACTGATTTATAGAGGGATTTAATAGATCCATGGTGGGTTTTGTATTGGTACTCAACGTTGTGAAAGTTTTTCTATATAAAACAAAAACCCTTCTGAGATAAATGCAACGCGTGTTTTCTCCATGGTTGTGATGGACATTTCAAATAATTGGCTGGTGATGTATAATGAATACCTGTTTATTATTTATATTTTCAAAAAGCAAACGTAGAAAATGAGAACCAGGGTACAATTGGATTGCCGCCTCCTGTATAGATGAATGGATCTAAAAAAAACACAGGAAAGAGAATCGGAGGAGACAAAAGAAATATAAGTAAATATATAGAAGGAACCTTGACTGGCAGAGGATGCACAATGGGAAAATATGATAAAGCCAGCAAGGGGTCAACAGTAGAGGATGACCACACACCGTTCTGTAGACAGATTGTGTATATAAATCTTGTATATATATTACCTTAGGTTGCCCTTCCCTTCGGTTAGATTATAACCTAAAGGACATTTACATTTTTTTTGTCTCAAACAGGTGGGGCAACTCATGACAGTAATAGCTGCTTAGCTGTCCTTCGTGAAAAGCTGTGAATTCTGCATTCTCCTGAAGTGCAGCATCTCCATTTAGTGGCAGTTCAATTGGAAGGGGAGCAATTTGACAGCAACACATTGATTAATCGTTGGGAGCAAAGGGGCTTTAAGATCAATGTTAACCCACGCTGCTCTATAATGACAGCTTTGTCGTCTTAAAAATGTATGCACCTGTACCATATTATGAATGTCACCTTTTTTAGTGGATGGTAATATCATTCTGTACAGTTTCATTCTAAGCTATCCTTTAGAGTTGTAATATCTGGCTGCCACTGGCTCAGCCATGTTCACAAAGCTGGGCAGGCTTGTTTGTTTGTTTCCCTGCATTGCCAGAGGTCTAATGCATTTATGTGTGGTAGCCGGGCTGAATCGCCAATATTCTCACACATACTGCAGCGTTAACGGCTGCAGTGCCACTACAGTATTGCTGTGTGTGTCTGAATGGATACGCGTGAAAGGGCTTGCAGATGGGCACTGTTGACCATTAAAGATGGCAAATAGCACTTGCTTGATGCAACACATGCGGTCAATTGAACCCTTCCGAGCGATTCATTAAATTGTCAGCATTTGTGGGAGCGATTGGATTCGATGATCGATTCTTCTTGTCACGTCTGCAATTTCCTTTGTACTTGTTCTACTTTTTCCGTCTTGCTTGCATAATACAGTTATAACCCCATTTAATCAAAATCTAACATGCACATGCCGTTTCTGTTTAATAACCATAAATCAGTCTGATTCATATAATGAGCCTATGAATCAATTTTAATTGGTGAATCGATGCATCATTACATGTCAACTAGATACTGCCGTTGGCTCTTTCTGCAAAATTATACGTATGGTAGCAATTTCGTGGAGAAGTATTTGTGTGTATGGTAGCCATGTAAAATTAACTTGGAAAGTTTAATCTTAGCAGCATTTTTATTGGCTTACAGGACAATTCGGTGGTCAAGAACTAGTCTTGTTTTACAAAACTCAAATACACTCTTCCATTAGCCTTCATTGCTTCAGACATATTTGTCAACGAAAACGTTCCTTCTCATCTGCTTATGTTATTGTTAAATCATGTGATGTCGGCTGAAAGTAGATGGGCATTAAGCTGCGATTACTGCGGATTATTGTGGTGCATGCTGTGAATTTATTTGTAAGCAATTGAGCTCCTTCACGCAGGAAAAAAAGTAAATTTGAAAAAATAGTGAAATTCATAAACTAAGCATTTTACAATAAATACATTTTACAGAACGTTGTCAGACCATTCCAGGCAAAGGCCCCTCCACGCCATGGCACTCATCAGGGTTGTTTCTCCATACTTCACGTTGGTCAGCATGCGTTGGTGGAGGGTGCACCCTGGACCGGTTTAAATATGACTCGCCACTGACGTTAGCTGTGGCTGGGAATTGAACCGAGTTCCCAGTGCTCTAACCACTGCATCATTGCTTCTTCCACATATTATGATTGATAATAACGTTAACACCTTTCTGTTAATTCTATGAACACATTGAGATAGCAATTGTATAATGTCCCCTTGTTTACATTAAGAACATTTTGCATTATCAGTGAAATCTACCTAATAAGGTATCTGTGTAAGGCCCCGTCACAGAGACGACCCCTCTCTTTGTGCCGATACGTGTTCTCTCTCTCTCTGTGTATGTTTATGATGTCTGTCTGCTTATATGTCTGTCTATAGTTTTCTGGTTAGATTTTTGTTGCTATTTATTTTATACCTGATGATAATTGCTTGTGTTGCAATCGAAAAGTCGTAGTACGCAAATATTTAATTTATTATTTTATCTTTGTACGTGACTTTACCGAAAGAACCAAAGAATAATTCCTGCAGTCACGAAAGCTCCAAAATTAAGAAGGTATCTGTTGCCAATCTAATACAAATAGCATAGCTCAGCTCCCAGAAGCCTCGCAGTGCTTTTAACCATGTGCTGGCTGCACAGTGGATTATCTTCAAAGATTGTTTTCACCATAGCCCACAGCACTATGAGAGTGATGAGGCAGGGGTGGGTAAACCTGTCAGTGGCATTTGCCGATGGGCAGAGACTTCTCGAGTTTGGTAAAAATGCGGTCACCAGGACCGGTTCATATGTCACTCCCCTTTACGTCAACCATGGCCAGGAATTGACCTCTGCTTGCATCGTGCTACTCACTGTGCCACTACTCCACCATTGTTTTACATTGTGTATAATACAAAGTAATAATAAAAAAATTAACCCGTAAAAACAAAGTTTTTGACTATAAATCCTTTATATGCGTGTTCAGTGGGCCACAACCCAGCCCACATTGGTCTTTGAAACGGGCGGCTAGAGTCCTCTCGTCCTCTGGCTTGAGATGGCTGCCACCTATGGGTCAGATGATTGCCTGCCACCATTAAGCAATTGGTAATTAAATATAAAAAAAAATTCCTAAAAAGTGTTAAATTTTTGAAAAAAAATGTCACGAAAATAAATTGTCATGCACAACGAGTCTGTGTGCAAAATATCAGCTCGATTGGATCACGGGAAGTGGGTTAAAAAACGACCAAAAGATTTGCACAGTCGTTAGCGCGCAAGCAAGCAAGTGAACTTAATATAAATGATTTAAAAAGGATGCCCTTTTTAACCAGGAAATATTCACTGAGTTTCAATACTTTTTTCTGCAAGAGAGTCCTTCATTGGTATGTTTGGCTATTTCCACTTATGAGTGTTTGGAATTTTACAGGAAAAAAACCTAACATGCATGCTAGGGATTAGCATTGAAATCTTAACACAGATAGATTCAAGGTTCGATTGCTGTACTGCTATGTCCCGGCCACAACACATGTCAAGCCTACAACACGATGTGTTCCCAGACAGACTCCCATACAAGTACTACTACTCAAACCTTCTTCACAGATCTTGCAGGATAGGATGCATTCATGGTGATTTGGTCATCCGAGTTATTTTAATACTTCTTAATGAATGGTAGTTTAACATATTTATGTTGCGCAAATTTACATGTGTATTAATTATTTGGTAAATATGTGACCATTACAATGTTGACCCAGGCACTTTTACAACTTTTTTGTCATCTTTTTTTCACAGGTAAATTAATAATAATTCACGTGGAGTTTTGCAGTCATTGAAACATTGTTATATTTTTTTGTCCTGGCAGGTGCAAGCACAAGTCAGGCTGTACTGTTATAATAACGCAGCTGCTAATTGAGGAAATTGCGTTAGGAAAATTACCTCTGTTGAAAAATCTCATGCTGCATTCAAGCTTTCCAGCTTAGCACAACTTTGTTGGCTTTCTGAACATCCGAAAATCGAACCGATAGTGGAAAATAGATGGTATCTTTGTCACCGTTTCTTGTACTGCAATGATTTTGAATGCGGAATTATTTTTTATTAAACATTTCTTATGCCGTATCAACTGCACTCGTGCAAATATTAATACAACCTGCTACTGCAATTTCAAGGTTTAAAAAAACATGAAAGCCAGTTTTCCAATCAATAAACACAATCAAACTTCATTACATTACAGGGTGATTTGGGAAATTGCTAATGATGAACCATTCATGATTTAGAGAATGTCATGGCTTTCTGAGAAAGAACGTGAACATGATGAACAACGAGAGATGGGCTAAAGAGCATATTAACTTCCGTTAGTGGTGTGACTTTTCCCAGTTCTCTGCCACGTATCAGCAATTGCCAGCTCGATCATTGATGTTGCATTGAGCCATTATTCTTTGCTCTTTGTTAGAATTATTCTTCTGTTGTGCTGGCAATTTCATTTATGCTTTGACAAATTGGTTTATATTAAATGCATCACCAGAGGTCTTCGTTTGCGAAACCAAAATGCATGACTCATGGCTTTGACATGAAAATAAATATATATACTATAAAATTATTTTACAAAATTCTAATTGAATTTTTCTTATTTGTTAAACCTCATATTCTTACTGCTTATGCAGCATGCATATACAATATTATTGCCAGCAATTCACTGTTGGATAAAGGCCTCCCTTCCCAAGCCATAACCAATAACATATATCAGTTTTTTTATTTGCATTTTTCGTCGCATGCATGTTATTTTAGTTGCTGTTGTAATTATCTATGTTGTCATTACGATCAGTACATGTTCACTTTGCAATGCACGTTGTTAAGTGAGGTTTATGTTGCTTTGTTTTTTTTCTAGTTCCAGTACAGTCAACTGCGATGTATCCTCTCCCTAGGCTATATTCAGGTGAGGAGACCTCTGCAAGGCATGCGCTTGTGAGCTAAAGGCTGATGAGAATTTTGGCATTTGGAACGACGCATCGACTGAACAAAGATAACCATGGCAGCTGCAAAGAAAGGTATACATGGCTGTGTTGTGATTTTCACAATATTTATTTGTAAATATTTGACCAAACAAGAGATGACATCTGTTTCTTACGGATAATTGCGTTGTTTACTTTTATTGCATGTGTTTGTTTATGTGTTTTGTGAAAATTGCAGTAGGAAAGGATGTCGTAGCTTTTTTTTTTTCTCGACGTGCATTTCAAATGTCACTCCCGATAAATGTGTGTAACATGGACTTTATAAAATGTCAACAGTCGCTAAATCCACAAAAATATATTTGGTGAAATGCATTGAGTGCATGGCAATGCTGTGAAAGATGGAATGTGCCTTGAGAGGAATTACTACTACTAAACATTGCTACCTATAAGTAGCGCGCCGGTACATTTAGGGTGCGTCCATTTTGCTAGGAGATCCAACTGTATGAAATGAAACACATTATTTGGTGATACTGCATTGCCAGTGATGCACGTGCAAAAATGTACAAATAATCCATTACATTTGTCAATAACAGTGCCTGAAAAGGAAAGCTATATATATTTGGCAACGTTTTGGGCAATAATGTGCTGTGATTAAGGGTCAATGCTCAAAATATTACTTATATTTTTCTTCCATTCCAACTAGTGTTTTTTATTAATGTGTTTAGGTTTGCTATTTGTTGATGAAGATATTTTTTGCACTTAAAATGCAAACATGTATGCCAGTGGTTTTACATTGTAGACGTGTGAGCTTACACCCACGCGCTTGTGTTGTAATGTACGTGCGCTGATACGCACCCTAACAGGTTTATTGAAATGCTTCTTGAAAGTATTTCGCAGCCAGTATTAAAGATCTGGGCATTTATATAATTACGCTGTGTGTGATAGGTTTCATAGCATTTACTTTTGGGGATTTGCAGCTTTGGTGAAAGCATAAAGTATAAAGCGTCCTCGGTCATTCGGCCAGATGGAAAGGCAAAATGTCCCCCGTTCATTGCAATAAAGGGACTATCTGCTCCATTAAAATTGGGCTATATTTCAAATTTTACAACTAGACCCGTGACCGACTTGTGTCCTGTGTGACTATTCGCACACGTACGTGTGTGTCCTCGTCAAGCTCCAGCAAAGCATCGGTCTGGAGGAGTGCACTTTGGGGAGGAGGTGGGAGCCGAAGGAGCTGGGCACGTCCACTTTGACGATAAACTGCACGACTCGATCGTTATGGTCACGCAGGAGACGGACGGGAGCTTCCTCACTAAGGTTTGAACCCCTGATGGTTGGATCATAATGCAGGCCTCGTCCCTGCCAATGGGCCATATCTCCCTTCACCTCCCCACGTGGCCGACTACATACCGTGTCCCACATGTTGGAGAGGACCCTTAAAAAAAAGGAATAATAGATCGCACTCCCGAAGCTCAATGATTGAACAGCGTGAAAAGCAATGCTGATTTGCCATTTGCTGTCGCTCCACGATGCTCAGAAACATCACAAACCAGGGAACCCCAGTTCAGTGCTGCACTGTGCAGCAATTTGTACCGTGCGTTCCATTCAGGAATGGCTCGTGGTTTCAGTGGTTTGTTTTTAACAAGATGTGAATGAGAAGTGCTGGTCTTCATTCAAATAATGGAGTTTTGTTCACAAAGTACATATATCGGGACACCTCACCCCTTAAATAGCCCGGTGTTTCGAGATCACACTGTATACCATGTGTGTGTAACAGTGTGCCTGTGGGGAATGGTGGTGCAGTGGTTAGTGCTCTCCTAGGTCGACTCGACCTCAAATGAGTACCTGGTACAATGTGTAAATTATTGTCACTAGGGAGACAAAGGCGGCTGGGCGTGGTGCTGGCCAGCTCACCCCGTCGTGTGCTGTACCGGCCTTCGTAGCTGCTCGCTAACAGCACTTGCACCAACAGTCTGTTATGGCTTCAAGAAGGATTTTTTTCTTTGCTGTAAGGTGACGCCTGCAGTGCGTGGTTGAATGGCGATGCTTCTGTTTTTGCGGCGTGTGTCTGGCAGGTTGGCTTCCTGAAGATTGGCCACAAGTACGAGATCACGTTTGAGATTCCAAGCCGCGAGCGTCTTGGCCAGGATGTGTGCGTGGTCTCCAAACACAATTTGTTTCTGCAGGTGACTGGCATTAAGGCAACTGCCGTTGGTGAGTTCTTCTCCGCTGTGTCCGAGTCATTTTTGTCCACTGTCTTTTCCTCATCCAGGGCCAGATTCTCGTCTTGTTTAATCATGTGGTGATGCTGTGTTGGCAGTGGGGCACGAGCATGAATAACAAAAACCCTCAACACATTTGTCAATAACACTGCCTTCACATGAAAAAACTATTGGTGTTGTTTCTGGTTAATGACCCTTCTTTGTAGCACATTTTTACGAACGTTTGTTTTTGTCAGCTTTTTGCGAAGACCTTGCAATGTTTCTATAGCCAACGATGGAGCAAATTTACTAAGCCCCCATGTGTTACAGAGCTTTTTTTGAAGATTTGAATTTGGCCTCCTGAGGATACAGAGAGGGTCCCCCGTGATGTCGTCAATATTTATTTAAAATTATTGTTTGTAGTATTATGCCTCTAATAGAGGCCCTCTGAATTTCTATAAAAATAATGACCCATTGAAACACATGTGCGCAATTACATTTCTTCTAAGTTATTTAAAATGAGAGTGAATATATCATCTATATTTAAATTTAAGTGACATTTTCCATCGAAAGAATATGTTAAATAAATGGGATTTGGATACATATGTAATGTTATAGCACTTAAAATGATTTGGCTCTTAAATTAAGGTGAATAACTTCTGACAACCATGATGGGGCAGGAGGGAAGGTTATATCAAATTTGAGATGTGTTGGAAAGTATATATATTGGCACGTCAATTACCATGTGGCAGTGCTGCCTTGGTTTGCATAGAGACAGTTTGGATCCAACATATGGTGGGTTCCTATATCCTGGAGTGTTGTCATTATATCGCATGAGCTAGGCTGATTATCTGTGTGGGTTCAATCTTGCTGGGCGCGGGCTCTTCAAGCCATGACACGTTTGCTGTACGTATCAGATAAATAATGTGAGATTCAGATTAACTAACAGTGCATTGATGTGTATTATGGAATGCTTTCTCCGTTGAAAGATGAAACCTACTAACAATGTAATTCACCAGTGAGCATCAGACTCTTGAGTTCGGCTTTACATGATCTTTGAAGTCCATGAGTCACTGGACTTATTGAAATGTCCTCAGTTTGTTGACATCAGCAAGGGTGAATATTTCAATGAAGCTTCATTTTCAATGGGATTGTAGCAACAATCAGACCACATTCACTTTTTTCACAAAAGCAATTGTTATCACTTGAGTGCAGCAAATGTTGGAAGGAAGCATATGATGGTGTTTCTTTTTTCTTTGAATCTGATCACGATCAGAGTTGGGCTTTCCGATTATTTAAGTGATAAATTATTCGACCGATTGGCAGCTGTATTAGTCAACTAATCTGGTCACATTAATACAAGTAAAAAAAAAACAAGTGTCACGTGTGCCGTTGGATGGGAGGCGATGGACAGGGCTTGGCGAAGTCGACAGCGTCATTAGGCGTGTCACTGGGTGTCTGCTTGGTGGGGTTTTCCACCTTCGAGGGCAGGCTGTCAGGGAGGCTGCCATTTTTAGAGGGGCCCAAGCACTCTACCACACTTATATGTCAGTTAAATGACTAGTCCTCCCATCTCTAATTATAATTATTGTTGTATTTAATAATGTGTGTCTACAAGCTTTGAAAAGAGAAACCAGTAGGCTGATTTGGACCAGATTAAGAAGAAACAATCAAGTCTGCCACAATTATGAGTTATATCACTGCAGTTTGCCATATCCCTAGTGTCAATTAGAACATAACGGTAAGCAAAAAATATATACATGGCACTATTTGGATGTATTTCACATTTTTTTTACAATTTCATTCAAGGAGCTCTTTACTTTAACATATTTTTAACTTGGCAGTGTCCGTGTATCTTAAATAGTTTATTTAGTTGGTTGCATATGTGTATCTTGCGTCACCCCAGTGCATAACACTGTGAACGCTGCAGGTGAGAAAATTCATAAAAAGTGATCTCTAAATTTGGTCAAGGCGTTTCATGACATGCCCCACACGGTCTGTTTGAGGTTTTGTTATTTTAAGTCTGGTGTTAAAAATGATCGCACAAGAAAGAACATAGCCTGGCTTGAAGCCTCATAAGGAAAGCATTTGCTTAATGGCTTTGTGCACTGCAATATTTTATGTTATATTATACAGCCCCAGACTCTAACTGGATTATTTTTTTTTACCAAGCCTGCAATGAATTATACTTTTGTCAGTTTCCAGAGTTTACGTAATAAGTAAGTTGTGTAGTTTTTGCACAGCGTCCTTTCAGATGGTTGAGGCAACAGCAATGCATAGGGAAAGAAGTGCACCAAACAGCAAGTGCGTATAATTGTTTTTGGCGAGCATGACAGTGGTTATATACATGTGTAAGAGTAGAGAAGTACCACCTTTACATTGTATAAGTCGTGCTTTGTCAATTGCAAGGCCAGATTTGCTGCAGGGAAAAGCTACTTTCACCACTTCATTCAGCAGTGGATTAACAAATTGGCTGTACATGTGGACATAAGCCCTGTGGTTGTTATTGAGACATTGGCCTTGTGCAACGTTGGTGCTTTTAATAAAATGTCGTGATGGGGCCAATGAAATAGCGTGGATAATATACCCATAATAATGCCTCAAACCGTGGGAAAATATAAATCAAGCTGTTAAACACAGTGGCCACACCTAATTTGGGCACTCCTTAAAAGTAATTTTAGGCACGCGATGTTGAGACCGGCTACCGTTCGGCGGACCACCACCTCTCAACAGTTTACAATGAGGGCAGTTTCACGTTACGCTCGTGTTGATCCAGTGAACACAACCCGAGCCGGGCTTCGTGCGCTTGCCAGAACGCCGCCGCGTATACGTCGACTGCAGGAAACCCACCCACGGGGCAGGGCACCGAAGGAGCCTCCTTGGTGGTGGGGGCTGGGAGTGGTGGCACACGTGATTGTGATCGGCACGTAGCAGGCCACGTGGGAGCCATGGCCACGCATCTGCACAAGGCCATTAACGTTGGCATGGGTGTGTGTGTGTGTTCCCGTCTCTCTTCCGTACGCATTTATTTTATCACGGCATTGTGTTTTCCGTTTGAACTCCGATCTGAAAATCTGATAGTTTTGTTTGCTCTCGGCACGAGCCATTTTCTTTTGATTGAATGCTGACTAAGCGATATCTTCCCATATGCTGTCGGTTTTTAACACGTTCACATTCATGTGGCCTGTTCGTAGTTGCTAAATGAAAGAAGGTTTATTAAACTGTCAAGGTTCTCAAATTAATTGGCTTACAAAAAGTCGTGTTTTATTGCTTACTGTCGCCAGTATTATTCTGGATCTGGGTGAGATTCTAGGATGGTGACAGCATATCGGGATTTTAGTTGACGGTGAGGTGAGGTCTTGGTTGATGTGTAGTTTGTCATTGTCAAAAAAAAAGTATAAACACATTGTATTGAAAACCTAAAGGGTAATGCTGTCTGTTTCCACTTAGAGCCTTTCACATTATATATGCAATATGCCTAATATGGTATATTTTGGTAATATAATACTAATAGCTTAACATCATAGCTCAGTTCCCAGAAGACTTGCAGTGCTTTTTTGCTCGAGCTCTAACCATGTGCAGGCTGCGCACTGGATTTTTTTTCAAATAGTTTCTTCACCGTTCGCCCCCCCAACGGTTCTGTAAGAGCGATAATGCGGGGGTGGGAAAACCTGTCAATGTCATTCGCCCCCATGGCCAGGGACTTGGCAAGTTTTATGGGCAGCTTGGTGCCGATTGTCGGTAACCGTGTTAGATTCGGTGAATCACTCGCCGAGCATCGATTCCCAAGATTGTCCCAGCAGCAAGAACAGGCGGTGAACAAAATTATTCTTGGGTCACCACTAAAATTAAGCTTTACTTAATACAGCACTGATTCATTTATTAAAATCGATTCTTATGCTCATTGGCACATCAATCTACGTATGAATTGATTTTCTTACATATGTGTAATAATAAAAATGCCAATTGGCTTCACGTGGGAAGAAAGCGCAGTACCTCGGGTGTTCGCCCATCCAAGTACTAACCAGGCTCAAACATGCTTAGTTTCATGGGGCGTTTAGAGCAATGATCTTGCAGGCATGGTTGTATTTAAATCTGACAGCCACTAGAGACCCGACATGCACTGTAATGGCAAAAATCTCATTGATTCTGGAATGAAATCACAACCCAGAATTGTGGCAATTAATTAAATTGCAAGGAGTGTGAATCATTACTGGCATAATAATTAAGCGTCTAGGCACTTGGCAGTAGTTTATATCCATATCTGTGAAACTTAGCTTCAATATCTTTCTGCCCAATGTTTTCAAACATTTTTACTCAAAGAAACTAGGAACAGGGATGGACTGGTTTGTCATTCTTGATATTGTTTTCACTTGCAATCGGTGAATAACATGTCGTGGGTTGGCACAAAATTTGAATGTATGAAGTTGTAAAATGTTTAATTATATATGCTGTGTGTGTTACGTTTTATTTTTGATGTGCGTAAGTGTTTTAAATTAATGTCATGTTCGGAAAATATTTATATATATTACTCATTTCGCAGAATTTTACGGGCCAAGGTGGCTAAAAATGACGATCCTCTTGAACAAAATTGTACCTGTAATGGTTGGTGTACATTTCCATCGATAGAAAAGCCTATCATGTCCATTACCAGTTTACGTGACCACACGTACACACATACTATAATAAATAATGCTGCCTGTTCTATCGTTGTATTTTGCAGACGCAAGCTAAAAGGATAGCACTGACTGAGAGTTGTAACAATAAAGTGTTTCGTAACCTCTAAGGGAAATGTTATTCCTTGGCATGTTTATTATTATTATTTATCAGTAGTGCAAGCATCGTAATGAGTTCAGTGTCAAACGTGCACCATAAATTTCACCGATCTGAGTATGAGAACACAGTTGGTCCATCCTTGGCTGTCATGTTAAACCATCACCGTTGCTTTCAGGGGATGGTATCCTGAAGTATTAATGGCGCCATTAAATGTGATGTGTGCCCGAGTGCACTGGC